TTATTTCAGGCTCACTGTGGTATAACTTGAGACTAAGAAACTTATGGGGTCCCAGTCTTAGGGGACCCCCATAGGTTTCATGGGTTTTCATTCAAAAGCACCCACCAGGTTCTCCTGACTCTGACAGAGGGAGGGAAAAAGTATTTTGAAATATGCCTAGAGGGTTCTGCATTATAAAGGCCTATCCTACCCTTGGGGGAAGGCTCTGTGAGAGCCTTATCCCACCTGGGGAAAGATATATTGACTTGATTCTTTTCTATCACTTTTGGTTCTAACTGAAAAGGAGGAGGAGAAGCTGAAAGAAAAAAAAAAAAAGGAAAGACTTAAGGACTTGTGAAGTTCACAGCTCAGGATATGGGTCCACTAAATGACTAGATATTGGTCACAAAATTATGGAAAGCTTTCTCTCCCTTACATTTACTAGCATGCCAACAAAGCTCGAGTCTATTAGTATATTACAGCTGAGAGACCTGACAGGGAAACTGTCTGATGAGGACATCTTAGGGAAGCCAAAAGGTAACAAAAGAGATGAAAACAAACAAGACACTAGAGGAGTTTTAGGCCTCTGGAAAGCCAGTTACAGCAAACATTTAACATAACCCAACTCCTAACCAAATTTAGATAAATCTTTAAAATGAAGCCTTATTATCTCAGTTTCTACATCTGATAAACATATTCACCCTGTAACAAGAAGTCAGTAACACAATGATAGCAGGAAACCCCAAAATACTGGGGATTATACAACACACCTGTAAATAACACATTGGTTAATAGAGACATTTCAAGGAAATACAAGTGATTTGAAACTAAATGAAACTAAATGAAAATGGAAATACAACTTATCAAAATTTGTGCAATGTAGTAAAAGCAGTGCTTAAAGAAACATTTGTCCTTTAATGCGTACATTAAAAAAAAAAAAAGGAAAGGTCTACAAGTCAATTACCTAAGCTTCCATCTTATAGAACTAGAAAAAGAGCAAATTAAATCCAAATAAGCAAAGGAAAGGAATAAGTATTAGAGAAGTGAACGGAATTGAAAACACAATTCTATGGAAAAACAATTCAATGACAACAAAAACTGGTTCTTTAAAAACACTAATAAATTGATAAACCTCAAGCAAGGCTAACCAAGAAAAAAGGAAGCTGTCACAAATTACAAATATCAGAAATAAAAAAGGGGGTCACTGAGGTCTCGATCCCTGGCCAAACCCCTATGTGTAACCTTTCAGAACCAGACATAGGCCATTACAAAAGCTTACCTGGCAGGCAGGCCTCACTGCAGGGAAGCCACCCTCCTCACAGCAAAGGCGTTACAGCCTCAGAGGGAGCTGGGGCCAGGTTTGCCGGCTACCCTAGGCCACCAGGGCAGCATGCTGTTATGCATATATACTCCCTGGCCCAGGTGCCTTGATTCAGAGGCCACTATTTCACATAAGCCTGTCTCAGGGGCCTCTACTGAGACCTCTTTATGGGAACAGGACTTCAAGACATTCTTCCCCACTGTGACTCAATATTCAGTACTTTTTCTCTCTGAGTGCCCACACCCCGAGTTCCACTGATCCACAAAACTGCAGGAGTCTTTTGTTCAGAGCCCCCTTGGTAGTGAGATAATTTCTACACATGTACTGAATCCGCCTGATCCTTAACTAGCACCATTCCCAAGGGAAAATTGGAAGAGGAGGTGAAGAAGAATTGCTCCTTTCTCAGGTTTTACCTCTTACTTATACTATCACAATGACTAAAGGCTTGACATATGTTTGAGTTTTATTTTGGCTTGTTGTCTTAACTGACTACTTTGACCCTTGACAGCTGAGCTCTTTTGAGCTCTTTTGGGCTCAGCACAGTTCCTGACAGGCACAGCTACTGAAATAAAGGAATGCTATAAACAATTTTATGCCCACAAGTTTGATAATTTAGATGAAATGGACCAGTTCCTAGAAGGTCAAAATCTACCAAAACTCTACAAGGAGAAATAGATACTCTTAATAGGCCTAAATTTAATAAGGATATTGAATAATTAATAACCTCCCATAAAGAAACTACTAGCCCCAGATGGTTTCACTGGTGAATTCTACCCCTTGTTTAAGTAAGGTATTACCAAACCTACTCCATCTTTTCCAGAAAATACAGGCATGCCTTATTTTATTGTGCTTTGTTTCATTGTGCTTCACAGATGTGTTTTTCACAAATTGAAGGCAAGACCCTCTACCAGCAAAAAGATTATGACTTGTTTTATTGTTACATTAGCTTTATTGTGGTGGCCTGGAACTGAACTTGCAATATGTCCAAGGAATGCCTGTAAAAGAACACCTAGGAGAACCGCTAAATTTTAAAAATGATGACAACACCACATGCCGGCAAGAATGCAGAGAAGACTGGATCATTCATATATGGCTGGTGGGGAAATTGTACAGCTACTCTGGAAACATTGTGGCAGTTTCTTTAAAAACTCAATATGCAATTACAAAATGACCCAGCAATTGCTTTCCATGACATTTATCATAAATAAATGAAAAAAGCTTCACACACACACACACACATGTACACACACAATATTTATAGCCGCTTTATTCTAATGCCCAAAACCTAGAAGCCACCCAGATATACTGAAACAGGTGAATGGTTGGGTACGTTGTAGTATATACACATGATGGAATACTACTTAAAAAAAAGGAGAAACTATTAAAATCTGCAACAACATAGATGAATGTCTGAAGAATTATGCATTGTGAATAAAAGCCTATCCAAAAAGTTTATATATATATATATAATATATAATATATATATGATTCCACTTATATGAAATTCTTGAAATGACAAGTTAGTGTGGCTTTAAAATGGTAACATGAGGGATCCTTGTGGGGATGGCAAAGTTCTATGTTGTTACTGAGTCAGTGTCAATATCCTGGATATGCTATTGTATTCTAGTTTTGCAGGATGCTACCACTGGAGGGAAGCTGGGTAAAGAATACGTGGGCTCCTCTGTATTTTTTTCCTAGCTTTACTGAGATACAATTACCAAATAAAAATTATATGAATTTAAATTGTACAACATGATGATTTAATATAACTATGCATTGTGAAATAATTACCACAAAGCTAAGTAACATCCATCACCTCACGTAGTTACCTTGTGTGTGTGGTGATAACATAAGAATTACTCTGGGAAACTTTGAAATATACAATGCAGTTTATTATCTATAGTCAACATGCTGTACAATAGCTCCCCAGAACTTAGGCATCTTCCAGTTAATAAGTATAAAGTGATCTGGATTCAACCAGTTTTCTGAACTAAAGGTTATTAGCAACCCTTAAAGTTTATGACTTAATTTTCTAAATCCAATAGCTTTGATTTTACTTTTCTTCTAACTTTCAAGGGTAGACCATTCAAGATCCTTCTTTCTCTACAGAGCATGAAGATGGCACATTTGGATGGTTGCAGGTGTCACTTCTAGAGCAGGTTGGAGAAGAACATTTTGAAATACAGGGGTAAAATGAATACTGAAATCATACCATCTATATGAGAGATGTTAATTGTGCACACCTGCCACACCTTGCACTTCTCCAGACACAGCTGATTGGGAACCAGAAGTGGCTTCCTGATCCAAGAACAGCTCTTTGCATGGCCTATAATCTAAAATGATAGTTTTTGTATGGAAAAAAATATATATTGTCAATCTCATTCTGACTTTAAACACTGTGAAATGGGAAAAATACAGAAGGGTACTGAAAATATAAGGTCATCATTCATTTAAAAAAAAATTTCTTGTATAACATTTCAAATCCTAATTAGTTCTTCAATAACTGAATACAATGTCATTTAACATAATGGCTATAGTTTAGTCTCTATGGAGAGTCCTCATTTATTTTCCTGTGTGCTTTTTTAGGCCACTGGTCTTCTTTAATTTCCTTGAATATGTCCAATTTTTTGCTGTTTTTGGAATTTTGCAAATTCTGGTTCTGTAACAATTTCCCTGGTAGACCAAGATCTTTTGAGGTTCACTTCATATACTCTAGGTCACATGTCTCACTCCAGCCCTAAAATCAGGGAATAGCTGTGTGAAGATTTAAAATCCCTTGAGGATGACAGTGTTTCAGCTCAAGGCTGCAATTTACATCATTCACTTTCCACCTTGGGTTTTTACCCACACAGTGGAATGGGAAACAGGCAGGCAGGAGCCTGCCGGCATACACACAGGTGCAATTAAGAAGTACTGGTAGTTAAAAATATCTGAGTAAAACCTTGACCTGTGGAAAAGGAGCTATGGATCAGTGGTTCTTCCTACGGTAGCTGAAGAGGAAAATTATGGAATTTTCTGGCAAGGTTGAGCCCCAGTAGCTCATGGCACAGATTAACTCTTCCTCCCTTTATGATTCTCCCTGGTCATTCAAAACTCCAGAGCCTTGGGGTCATCTCCCACAATCTCTGATTCTGAGAGGAACCTAGGTTAATACGATTAGGTAACTTTTATTGTTGTTTTCAATCTTAGTTTAAAGGTAATGTACCCAGAGAAATTTCTCTGACCTCTTCCTAAATTTCAAACCAAATTTTTCACAAGGGTTTTTCACAGTACATCCTTTATTTTAAAGCCATTGATTTATCTAAAATGTTAGTGGCAGATTTTAAAAAATATTAAGCATTTATTTTAGAAATATTTGTTAGAGTATGATATTCATAAGGACAGAGACCACAGTCATTCGTCTACTGTACCCCCAGGCTTACAGTATCTGGCATCTATGTGGTACTCATACATTGAAAGAATAAGCCACCTCCAAGCAGAAAATAAGGACATAATGGAAATTATAAAACATATTTATACATGAAAGATACGGAAAACAATTAGAACAATCTCAAACCTAAGAGTTTAACTGAAGAAAAGATAAAGAATGGGTTACAAAGGGTTAAAAAGTACAGGGTATATTTCATGAAGACATACAAAATAACCAGTTTCAAAAATTTATCTCAGAAATATAGAAAATTGTAAGAAAGTATAAAATATCATTGCTTCTCAGCCTTTTGGCTAAGATCACGTGTAGTATCTGTTCTTACCAGAAAGTATAAAATATCTGAAATAAGAAAACTAAATCAGGGACAAGTGATTCAGATCCATATATGTATGTGTCCTTTGTATGATGTGAACATGAATAACTGCTTATAGTTAAAAGAGAAGTCCACATATAGAGACACATTACTGTGTTAACTTTTATTAGCGAGTAAGGTAGAGCCAAGTCCTAAGATTCCTATATGCAAGTATAAGAAGAAATGAAGAGATGCTAAGGAATGTCTTGAGACTAATAAGGAGATAAAGAAACCAATAAATGAGAAAATAAAGTGTTGGTAACCTACAGTATTGGTGTAAATAAAGTGGTGAGATATTTATTTTTTCGTGTAGAATAGAACAAAAAAAGAAAAAAATTGGAACATGTTCCCAAGTAAATTAATGCCCCATGTTCCCAGAGGATTGTGTTTATAAGTAAGCTAAAAGTAAATACCACAGAAATTTAAAAAATACAATATGGATGAAAAATGATTTGTAAAAAAGTAATCTAGTATATGAGCAACTCAGATATGAAGTATAAAATATTGTGTGCCGAATTGCCGGAAAGAGACAAAGGGCACAGTTGTGAGAGCAGAACGAAAGGGAACGCCAAAGTGAGGAATGAATGAAAAATATCACGGGAGGTCAAAATATTATAGGAAATGTGTTTCCAGCATATAAAGGACCAGAGGTCACTCTGAAGATGCCTGCAGAGTAAAAATTGTAAGAATAAATTATCGACCAATGAAACAGACATTGCTAAAATATTAAATTAATTTCTTACTTCCTTGTCTCAGTTTTCACAAAGAAAATAAGGGACAAATGCTAGGAACAGACATTAATTTCCCTTGAGAGAGAAAAGAAATATTGCAGGAAATTGCGATCATGCCAGGAAAGGTAATCAAAAATAATGGCTGAAACCGCACACACTAAGGATAAAAAACAATTCGATAGTCAATGGCCAGGTATGTCTCACTAGTTTTATTGGAGGCATTCTGAGGGGGGAAAAATAACAAAAAAGCAAGTGGAGGAATGAAGGATAAAGTTCCTCTATAGTCAGTCTTTTTCTGAAGCCTAATATTTAAAAGATACGATCTATTATTTTTTTTAATTAGGAAGATAAGAGGTCAGTATAAAGAGCCCCCTTCTCTTCTGAAACCCACACATCTACTCACATATCAAATCAATTGCAAACATTTATGTAAATATTTATTATGTTGCTTACAAATACACACCCTGATTTTCACAGTATGCACTATGAGAAGGGAGGGGTAGACGTGGCTAAGTATTCATTTAATTCCAGAAAAGTAGGTACAAGTCTACATTTATTACAAGATAAATAAAATAAGTAGTATCTTTCTTTGAAAAATATAAAATAACAAAGTGAGAAAATGTCAGAAGTTTATTTGCTGTTTTAAATACAATTACACAAAATAAGGGAAAGCTACTCCATTTAAGACAGAGATCTTATTCCATTAGTGATGTCGAAGCCAAGAGAAAATAGATGTGATGATAGACTGTGAGAATGAAATGTAACTTTGATGTTGGGATATGAATGACAGATGAAAACTTTTCTCCATATCAAAACACAGGATGAGTAATATTTGTATTTGATTATATAAGAAACATAACTAGGTACTACACTGAAACCTGGGTTCAAGATAAAATATTCATTCATTCACTCATGCATTCAATGAATAAATAGATGGTCTGCTGTATAGAAATCAACTTGTCAGTTTAGTGGACACAGGAACAAATAAGTCACAATGTTTATATTTAAAAACCTTATGCTCATGGAGCAATTCATACTTATTAAAAAAACACAGAACAATTAGTTATAGCTGATCTGACAGAGTCTTTCATAAGATGTGTGAACCACAAGGAGGTACATTTCCAATCTTGTTTAGAGCAAGAAGAGAAACAGGAAAGGGGTCATAGGGTGATAACAACTAATTTAAATTTTTAAGAAGAGAAGTGCTCTGCCGGTCAGGATGGGGCTGGGGGTGATTTGTGAAGAGTATTCAGAACCATGAGAGAGCTATGGCTAAAGCACACAGAAGTACTAATCAGCACAGCGCCTTCTAAGAACTGAGAGCAAGGCAGATTAAATGGAAGAATCAGGAAGAAGCAGTAAGGGGGCTGAAAGTGAATGAAAAGGATAATCTTAGTGGGAGTCCTTTGGATTTTCTCATCTTCCTTTACCTATTGCTTTGGAATTTGCTGTTAAAATTTAAAAAATGAACATTTTGTGATCATGTGCCCTTGATCTGTGTCATGATATATCATGATCTGGTATCCCAGAAACCTCTATCTGGTAAAAGGAAGGCTTTTTGATATGATTTCTTTTTTATTAAACATGATCATCGTCCAGCAAAGATCCAGCATCAAATTTTTGGTAAATTATCAAATTAGTTATAACCATCTTAACAGATAATTTTTGGAGATGAATAAAGAGGTAATGGTTATTTTCTTTCTTGAACATCGCTTTGTAGAGAAAAGGCCAAATAATGCATTTAAGGTCCATACTGAAGAATGGTGCTTAGGTCATCTGAGATATAGGAAGTGTTTAACAGAGGATATCATTCTTTCCAACATTATTCTTGGCATTCGAATACCAGTGATTATGCAAAAATAGCACAAAAGGCCAACAAGAACACCTCAAAATTAATACAATTTGAATGAAACTAAAACAGAAAGGGAGAAGAAAGGGGAAGAAAGGAAGAAAAAAAGGAAGGGAATTTATTGTTATTAATGTTCATGTTTACATTATTAAATTCTCTAAATATTGCAAAAGCCTTTGAATGAAAAGACAGATTCATCATCTGTTTGTTATAAAGCTTCATAACCAACTAGGATAGAAGGAAACTTCCTAATCCTGATAAAGAACATCTAACAAAAAAATTGCTAACTTTAAGTTAATGGTTTAAAATTGCTTGCTTTCTTCCTAAGATTGGAAACAAGGAAGTACCTGTAACAGTCCTATTCAATATCATATAGCTTTCTTAGCCAGTACAAAAATACAATAAAAAATGAATAAATGTAGTATAGATAGGAATGGAAGAAACTATATGACTTGATTGTCTACATGAATTTTCCCAAAATGCCTATTAAAATGAAAGTTGATAGAACTATAAAGTTAATTTAGCAAGAATGCAGGATACAAGATCAATATAAAACAATCAATAATAATTCTATGTGTAGGTTATGGAAAAATGGGAATCATTTTTCAAGTAAAATCTAAAATAGTAGCAAAATCATAATATACTTACATACACATCTTCAAAAATATATGCAAGTTTGTATGCTGCAAAGTATGATACACTATTGAGAAAAAAAATAAATCCTACCAATAGAGACTCAGGTTATTTGATCTACATATTCAGCACAATCCCAACCAAAATTCCAACAGATTTGTTTTGTAGATATGGAAAGCTATTTATAATGTTATGGAAATGCAAAGGAATAAGAATAGCCAAAACATTTTTTAATAAGAACAAAGTTGTAATATTCATATTACCTGATTTGAAGACTTACTATACTGCTCTAGAAATCCAGAAACTGTGATATTGGTGAAACGATATGCCCATAGATCAATAAAACAGCAACAGATATGGTCAAATAATTCTTAACATAATTTGCTAAGATAATTAACAGAATAATGTAGTCTTTTCAATAAATGATACTAAAACATGAATATCCACATGCAAAAAAATGCATACCCTAAAATAACTCAAAATGAGTTGAAGATATAAATGCAGATATCTAGAAGAAAATATAGGCAAGATTATTAGGTCCTTCTGTAAGGCTAATATTTCTTCATTGGGATAATAAAAAAGTATAAATTGTAAAAGAAAAATATATTGGACTTCATCAAAATAATGTTCTCCTTTTGCAAATATGCTAAGAAAATTAAAAAAATAGCTATATCCTGGGAGAAGATATTTACAAAAAAATTGGAATAAGTCCAATAAACTTATTCAGAAAATGTAGAGGCCTCTCTAAACTCAATAAGAAAACAAACTATTATGAAAAAATGGAAAAAAGATTTCAGGAGACATATTTCTGAAGATTTTTAAATGAAAAACATAAAATGATACTCAACATCCTTGGTAATTAAGGAAATGCAAACTAAAATCACAACAATATAATATTGCATAGCTATAATGTGTGATACAACTACATACTTGTCAATATCGAGAGCTGGTAAGGATATAGAGTAATTGGAGCTCTCTATGTTATTAGTGAGAATGCAAAGTGATACAGCCACTTTGGAAAATATGTTGGCAGCTTTTTATAGTTACCACATGACCCAGAAATACCCTAGATTTTTATTTAAGATAAAGAAAAGCAATCATATTCACAAATGTTTATAATAACTTGATTCATAAACTGCAAAAACTCAAAACAATCAAAATGCCTGCAACTGGTGAGTGGATAGAATATGGTGCATCTATATAATGAAATTCCACTCAGCAATACAACAATATAGATGAATCTTCAACATGCTAAAGGATAGAAACCCTATTCTAATGGCCACATGATTGATTTTTCCATTATTATGATGTGCAGAAAAAGACAAACTATAGGCACATTAAACAGACCAGTGGTTGCCAGTGGCTGTTGCTGAGGAGAAGGAATGTTTATGAAGAGGCTCAAGAAAGCATAAGGGTGAGAGAAATAGTCTTTGTCTTAACTTTGTGAGTGTTTACATAAGTGCATGTGATTGTTGGACTATGAAGCACTTCTCGTCCAAAAAGGGGTGAAATGTATGGTACTTACACTATAACAACCACATTTTTTAAAGGTAAATGCTTAGTAACTATTGTAGAATAGGGATTATTGGCTATACTGAACCCTAGAGAACATGCTAATTAGCCTGTTTTAAAATACTGGCCAAGTCACTTGTTGTATAGCAGATAATTCTGATGCTGAAAATTTGAAACTGTTATTTTTGAAACTCCCTCTTCCTAAATGGGACTTATAGTTCTGTAAATATATAAATCAAGCTAAAAGTTACAAGATCAAAATTTGATAGAATGTACAGGATTCTAGCTCCAGGAAAATGAAGGTGATAACCTGCCCTTTCACTAGAGCACTTTGTTGTGTCCATGGGGATTCCCACCTCCCATAGCAAAGAACATGTCAGGTCTTCAGCCTGT